GTAGGAGTTTTAACCCCAGAAAGATGTAGAAGTGTATTATGATTTGAACATCAAATGTCCTCATCAGCCCGTCTGTTTGAACACTTGGTCTCTTGACAATAGTTCTGCTTGCTGTAGAAAGTAACCACCAGAATAAGACCTTGGAGTATTTTTATCCAAGTTCCACTTCCTGTCTGCTTTCTGTGTTGTCTTCCACCAAGATGTAAAGGGGTGAAAAGACCCATCTAAAAGCTTCTACCACTGTAGAGGTGGAAAGGCCACCTATAGCCATGCCTTCCCTCCACGACAAACAGTACCCCTCAAACTGAGAACCAAATAAACCCCGCCTCCCTTAAGCTGCTTTTGGTCAGGTATTTGCCGTAGCCATGAGAAAAGTAACTAAACAAACCAAACACAGAAAAAAACAGCACTCGTTCTCTTCAATCTATGGTGTTCTGTTCAATCCCTTTGGGATTGGGTTAGGATAATCTGGCATATGGGAATGCCGAGATTACATACATCACAACTGAAGAGGTGTGGATGGTGTCTGAGAGAACCTATCAGACATGATTCCAATCACAATGTTAAATTGGGTAATTTTTTTTTAGCTAATGAATTTTAAATTGAAATATGAGGTTGTTAGATCACTTTGAGATGTTAAACAGATCTCAGAAATCACTATTAAAAATTTAATTCTCCCTGGCGAATAAACACAAAGGAAATTGAAATATGAGGTTGTTAGATCACTTTGAGATGTTAAACAGATCTCAGAAATCACTATTAAAATTTAATTCTCCCTGGCGAATAAACACAAAGGAATAACTCCTTTCTTTTTTTAATTTTTTTTAAATCTGTGTGTGTGTCTGTCTGTCTGTCTATCTGTTCACACATATGCAGCAGTAAATGGGAGGACCAGAAGATAATTTGTGGGAGTCAGTCCTCTCCTTTCCAACATGTGGGTCCTGAGGATGGAACCCAGGTGATCAGGCTTGACAGCAAGTGCCCTTACCCACTAATCCATTTTGTTGTCCCACAATAGACAATTTCTGATTGTCTACTCTGGCACACAAACCATTCTAGAACATCTGAGATGCCAACCCAGGTGACTCTACATGGCTATTCACTTGGCCTCTGCATTCTTTTGGGGCTAACCTGCCCAGAAATCACTAGGCAGGACCCAGTGCTCTGGTCCTCCTTGACTCTTGAACAAGATGCATGTCCCTACTGGTCACCGTATCCATGTATTTATTTCTTCCTCACCTTTAAAAGCCTAAGAGCGGACCTTATCCCCTGAATCCATGCTCCAGCTCTTTAAACTTGCCCTTACCTGATATGACTCTCATTTGTTCACTTCTAAGTCCATCTATCTAAAGGACACAAGTTGGTTTGCCTTTTACACGCATTCCCAACTCGGTGAGAATCAGGACTTTGTCTTATTAATCTCTAGACCCTCATAACTTAAAACATTTCGCAGCACAAATAATTGCTCAAAGAATGAACCATTCCACTTAAGGTATTTTCCTAAACTCATCGCATCTTCTAACTAAGATGTCTTCCTATCCTAAAGCAAGGACACCCAGAAACCAGATGGATGAAGCATGTTTTCCACTCTTTCTCCTAATGGGCATGGAAATAAACACAAAGATGGGGGGGGGTGTTTGCATATTTGTTTTTGCTTTTTTTAAAAAAATGGTTATCTCACAAAATACACTGCAGGAATTTGAATGAGAATGTCCCCTGTAGGCTCATGCATTTGCATGATTGGTCCCCAGGTAAACTGTTAGAGGATTAGGAGGTATGGGCTTGTTGAAGGAGATGTGCTCTTGTTGGAGGAGTTGAGTCGTGTCCTTGTTGGAAGAGGTGGTATGTCCCTGGGGATGGGTTCATACCAGGCCCTGGGTCACTTCTTTGCCTGCTGCCTGTGGATCAGAATGTAAAGCTCTCAGCTACTGTACTGCTTCGGCACCATGTCTGCCTGCTCCCGATCATGATGGTAATGAACTAAACTCTGAAACTGTGAGCAAGCCCCCAGTTAAACGCTTTTTATTTAAAAATGAGAGTTACTTGGGTCATTGCGTCTCTTCACAGCAATAGAACAATGACTAAGACAAGCACCTACCAAAAATCACCTTGCTCTTTACAAATTGCAACCCCAATCTGGGAAATTGTAATGACAAATTACCCTGCTCAGAGGCCCCTCCCCATTCAGTCAGTCTGGAATGAGCAGAAATTTAAGCTAGCTCACTTCTGAACTTCAGTCTTGCTTCTCCAACTAAGACTTCATCCAATGGCTCCCTGCAACATGGCAAATTAACATGGCTGAAACAGAACTCATCACCTTTTTTTTTTTTGGCTCAAGAGTTCAGGTTAGATTCCTCAAGTGAGTGGTTCTCAACCAGGCTGACTCTCCCCAGGGTCAACTGGAATGTCTGGTGACGATGTTCAAAGACCAGTCCCTACGATGCCACTGACATCTAGTGGATACAGAGTATGGCCAGACATTCTGTAAATTCGGCAGTCTCCACCACAAAGAACTACCTGGTCCAAAATGACGTCAATGCCGAGGCTTGAAAGCCTAGTCAGAGGATGCTATCCTTCCTGACTGAAAGTCACTCTTTCCATCCCAGCCCCTCCTCCTTCCATTGCACAGAACCGGTCCTTTCTGAACCAGAGAGAGGATGTTCAAAGCACTTTGAATAATCGGAATTCTAAGCGTACCTTCAGAGACCATTTGAAAATACATGTTTGACTCTAAAAACTGCAAGTTACTAAAGAATTTAGCATTGGGATGTTCAGAATAAAGTAATTGGTTCAAAATGGGCAGCTTGAAAAGACTGCCTGGGAATCACAGGGTTGCTTTTTTCTTTCCTTGCCCTTTTTTTTTTTTTTTAAAAAAAAAAAAAAAAAAAAAAAAAAACAGGGTTTCTCTGTGTAATAGTCCTGGCTCCTTCGCTGTCCTGGAACTCACAGATATCCACCTGCCTCTGCCTCCTGAGTACTGGGATTAAAGGTGTGCACCACCACCACTGTTCAGCCTATCTGCTCTTCAGAAAACATTCTTGTTTAACAAAGACTAAGGAAAATAACGTGACACGGGGACACACATGGATGGCTTCAGAAATGCGTGGAACACCCAGGGACACTCTAGCCTGAGCATTGGTGCTTTTATAGGGGTGTGAGCATAAGTAATGTTAGGTGAGCCATCGAGCATTTGACAGGAAATGTGCCCTGGCAGAGAGCCTGTTCACAGCAGAAATACCAGGTGCATTTAAGGAAAGCATCAGACTACAAATCATTCACCGGGTGTCTTAGTTGGAGTTTCTATTGCTGTGAAGAGACACCATGACCACAGCAACTCTTATAAAGGACACCATTTAATGGGGTGGCTAGCCTAAAGTTCAGCGATTCTGTTCCTTGTCATCATGGTGGGACACGGCAGTATGCAGGCAGACATGGTGCTAGAGAAGGAGCTGAGAGTCCTACAACTTGCAGGAAGTAGTCTGTGTGTTACACTGAGCAAATTTCGAGCAAAAGAGACCTCAAAGCTCACCCCCACAGTGACATACTTCTTCCAACAAGGCCACACCTACTCCACCAACGCCATACCTCCTAGTAGTGCTACTCCCTTTGGGGGTCCATTTTCTTTCAAATTACCACCAGGTGTTAACAGACTACATGGTATTTAATATATCTTTGGAAAACTTGATTTTATAGTATTTTATATTTTGGTATAAAATGCATCTTAAAATTTAGTGGCATGTGGAAAAAGAATGACTTTTCCCATTCAGTGTTAGGAGGACTGAGACAAAACTAGAGCTAAACAGTATCTTTTGACTTCTGACAATATAACAAAATCTACCTTCCCTACCCACCTGTCATCTTAACTGCACTACCTGACCCTTCAAATAGAAATCTATCAGAGGTCAAGGATGAATCACATGCATGTAAGAAGAGTTCCCTAAATGAGCCAGACTATTTCAAAAGCAATTTATCAGCTATATCTGATTTTAAAAAAAAATCTGATATATCGGATATAAAACATTTCCCATCCTTCCCAGCACAATTGTTTGTATGTAAGACGTTTATTGCATGATTCTTCTACTGAAACGAAAAGCATTCCCCTCGCTGCTTTAGCTCGGGGAGGGAGAATCTAATTGTTTCTTTGGAGCTCTGTTCTGAAAGCTTCCAAAGTGGGAATCAAAGTGAGAGCTATTTTTAGTGCAGCCAGCCTTTTTATAATCTAGCCTGTGCAGTGGAGCGAAGATGTTGGCCTTGAACAGAAAGCCTCATGCCACCAAGAGAGCTCACCAGCTCAGATCTTACCCTCTGGGATCTGAGCAGCTGGTGCCAGGCCCTCAGCCATGGCAGCCGAGATGACATGCAGCACCTAATACCGCACACTGAACAATAGGTAGATAGCAGGAATCTGTGTGCCATCGAGCTACTCCATCCTGGTGTGTGAAATCTCAATGTGGGAAGGCAGAAATTATTCAGGAAGAGAGAGAAAGATGGGCAGGCAGGAGAAAAACCAAACATTTCTGGGTAAATGTAAACCTAAGTTAAAAAACAAAGGGAAAGAAAGAAAGATATAGATGGCTCACGAAATGCAAACTAGTAACATAAAAGTAAAATGGGAATGGGTGATATGAATAAAAGCATAAAAGAAAGCTTGGCATTCATCAGAAATGAAAGAAATCTAAGTCTCAAGGTTTAAAAGAAAGCAAATACACACAATACCCAGGTATGCAGGAAGTACAGAGAGCGGAAAGGATATGGTTAGGGAAACCAAAGGTTCACAGTGGTAAGCTGAGTAGACTCATCCAAGTCTTGATAACATTCATGCCCACCATGGTCAAAATGAGGATAAAGATGCGTAGGTCTCAGGTCACTGAGTGATAATGTGGGAGTGTCATATCAATCTGTTGCTTTCATTGGGTAATTAATAAAGAAACTGCTTGGCCTGATAGGTTAGAACATAGGTAGGTGGAGTAAAAAGAACAGAATGCTGGGAGGAAGAGGAAGTGAGCTCAGACTCCATAGCTCTCCTCTCTGAGGCAGATGCAATGAAGCTCCGACCCAAGATGGACTTAGGCTAGAATCTCCCTGGTAAGTCACCACCTGGTGGTGCTACACACATTAATAGAAATGGGCCAAGCAATGTTTATATGAATACAGTTTGTGTGTTGTTATTTTGGGGCATAAGCTAGCCAGGGGGCCGGGAGCTGGGTGGCAGGAACGCAGCCCACAGCTCCTTTTACAGAGTGAGAGCAACTCTAAGCAGCAGATACAATGTCTATCAAATGTACCTTTAAATCTGCAACAGCTTGCACTGTGCCTAGGTACCAGTGCATTTCTGTGCTTTGTGAATGAAGGAAGGGTTTGTGGATTTCATGAGTGCAGTGGATTTTCAATGTGCCTAGCTATCATCATTTGAGTTCCAGTGCTTCACACGCAATGTAAAACAGTGGCTCTCGAAGTGTGACCAGCCTTAACATCACCTGGGAACATCTGGCCAGTGAGCATGAACATCCTTTCTTTCTTTGCCAAGGCAGAAAACACAGGCAGGCCCAGAGACCTAAGCCTAAGGAACCATTAAGAGATGGCTCGGCTGGTAAACCACTTGCTGAACAAGTGTGAAGAGTTGAGATTCTCCAGGACCCATAAAGCCAGGTGAGGTGGTAGGTATCTATAATCCTATGTTCCTGCTGTGAGACGGGATGTGGAAATGGGAGAATTTCCAGGAGCTCAAGAGCGAACAAGTCATGTATGCACAGTGGCTAACACCAAGACACTCTGCCTCAAACAAGGTGGAAGATGATGCTGACACCTGAGATGTCCTCTGATCTCTACACATCCATGACAAATACATGTACACACACATGCACACACAAAGACACACATACACCACTCTCAAAACATAAATATAAAAATTAAAAAACAAAAGGAATTCTTCTAGGTTACTCTGACATGATGTATCTACTGAAGTGACCAGCAAACATTCTTTTAATATAAAATATTAATGTCGTTCATTTAAAATTTGTACATATAATTCAGATTATTGAAGGGAAAAATAAAAAACAAAGCATAACAGGTCCCCAGACCTTGGCACAAATGATGCCATGGTAGAAGTGCCATTCAGGCCTTGGAACCCAGGACATAGGCAGCGACACCTACCAAAGGAGAGCAAAGACCTAATCCACCAAAGTCCATAGATCTGGGAAAGTCCCTAAATGTACTAACCTTGCTTCTTAGCTTCTGAAGTTCTGTGTTGACAGAGGTTTCTGTCTCGCCCAGTCCCGCAGTCCCAAAGAAATACACAGGCCTACGTTAATTATAAACTGATTGGCCTATTAGCTCAAGCTTCTTAACTGACTCTTATATCTTAAATTAGTCCATAATTCTTGTCTGTGTTAGCCATGTGACTTGGTACCTTTTATCAATGAGACATTCTCATCTTGCTTCCTCTGCATCTGGGTGATGACTGCAGACTGAGCCTTTCCTCTTCCCAGAATTCTCCTATTTTGGTCACCCTGCCTATACTTCCTGCCCGGCTACAGGCCAATCAGCATTTTACTAATCTTTACAGGGTACAAGATCATTGACCTGCAGCACTTCTGCTTCTGTCTAACTGTTCTTCTTAGTGAGGTGTGTCAACCCAAGATGTGCTTTGGGTTTTTTCTTGTGTTTTTTTTTTTTTTTTTTTTTTTTTTTGTCCTAAAAGCCCACCCTCAGGAAGACTTGGAACTGCATGTAGATCCTGAACACTGGTGTAGTCACTGACCAGCTAACAAAGGCTTTCTACACAGAAAGAACCTATGTCTGAGTTGTAGCACGAATAATAAAAAAACCCAGAGACAGACATTGGCGTTCAAGCTGAAGATGAGAAAAGCAAAGTGGTTAGCCACCAGAACTTTCCTCTTCCTCAGACCAAAATGGCGCTCTCCTGCCTTAGGAGAGGAGAGAGAAGGTCCTGAGAATTGCCCATGAACCAGTATGGGAACCACAGAGAAATGAAGTCCAAGTTCTGACTGAAGGAAGCAGTGGCACAGCTCTGTTCAGAGCTATAGGCTTTGCTTCAGATTTGGCAACAGATGTGGCAGCTGGCACTTTCGAATGCTGACTGCATACCAGGCACGTACCTTTCTGAGCATGCCACAGGTATCCTCTGAACTGTGGCCATTGACTACCAACCTTCAACCCTATTTTAGATAGAGACATAGTGCAAACAAAGCTTTATTTCCCCAAGGTCATGAAAACAACATCACCTGGGCCCCGGGTCTGCCCTTCTCAGTCTAGGGCATCTCTTCAGCCCCAGGCCTGGGCTTCCCAAGTATCACCAGCAATAGCGAACAAAGCAAGATGGAATGCAGGGAGGCAGAGGCTTCTCCCCATTGCTCAGGCAGCAGATGACAGCAGCTTGAATCATGGCCGTAGTGGTGGAAAAGGAAGAAAGAGTCAGATAGGGAATCATCGTAAATAAGGTGAATTGGTGAGTGTCCAGGGATAAATGATAGAAAGGCAGAACCATCAAGGTCTAGCATCCAGCCTGAGCAATGAGGGAGACAGCGGTGGCAGCCGCGAGCAGATGAATCAATGCCAAGTCCAATAATGCTGCCAGAGCCGAGGTGAGAGGCCAGACTGGAAGGGGGGTCTGGAAGTCATCCTTGTGGTGACAGCTCCAAATGAGAAATTGCTAGCAAAGGCCCAGGAGAATGGCTAAAACAAAAAGGGGGGGGCGAGATCTTGTGAGAACTCAGGAGAACAGAAGCAGAACAGCTCTGCAAACCACACAAAAATGCTTCTAAAGAGATGAGCGCTGCGGACAGAGTGAAGACGAAGGAGATATCACTGATGGTTGACCTTGGAGAAGCAGCTCCATGATGTGATGTGAGCAAGCAGGTGATTTCATTTAGGAAATCACCAAGTGGATCAATGTGTACCAGTGACACGAGAGAGGGGAGGAGAAAGGACGAAGACAGGGAATTAGAGATCAAGAGAAAGTAGAGGAAGACAGGATGAGAGAAGCTGAACATAGAGAAGCAGGATGCTTTGCAGCATTCTTAACAGTGCAAGGGGGCAGGTTTCAGACAGAGAACTGGGAGCCTAGCAGATAAGCAGCAGGAAAGATGAAGAGGGGTATGGGATACAGTAGAGAAGAGGAAAGGAACCAAAATGAAACATGAGATGGTGCAGAAAGACTTGGAAAGAACACAGAAGTATTTTCCACAATAGCGTGCAGCCATAAGGGCAGGAGTGGATGACCAAAACATGGTGAGTCTACTCAGGAGAAATTGACTGGGGCGTTATGAAGAAAGTGGTACCCATCTACATCATGTCGTGGATGAGCCATGGAAGCATTGTACTCAATGGGAAAAGCTGCTTATAAACAATAGCTATCCTATAACTGAATTTATAAGAGATGTCTAGAGTAGGAAAATCTATGAGGGAGAAAGTTGCCTAAGGCTAGAGGTTGGGGGAGTAGTTAAATCAGTTGATGAATGCCTATTTTAAGGTGAGGAAACATCCTAAAATTTATTGTAATGATAATTACCCTGTGGAAGCCCAAAAATGTGAACCTAGTTTTTACCTTGTCTAATGGTCAGAGAGTTTAAAAGTTGCTAAAAAATTGTTAACAACAACCAGGGCTATACACCCTGACTTGGTTCTTTTGACACTAAGGTGGCCCATACAGGTAGATCCACTCCACCCTGACAAATGGTCAGGATATGCAGGCATAATTCTGCTCCTTCTTTTGTATTAGGAGGTCATCTGGGGAGTGGCTGCCTTCAAGATACTGGGTCTAGTTGTGGGTTCACTGCCTAAACAACAGAATGCTAATGACTTGATGTCTCAAAGTGTGGAAGCAATTAATTGAGTTCTGCTTTGTATCATGTTAAAGAAGTCTTTTGTTGCCTCCCACCCCCCTTTTGTATTGGGTATAAAAGTGTATGGAAGTATATAAAAGTGGGTGATTTCAGTGTTCACTGGAACTCCCTCCCAATACTATCCTATGTTTCTGTCTTATTATTTTTACTCACGTCTTTGTATTCTTTACTTACTTTTTGGATTCCCATGCACCTACCCTGTCAAGTAATATATTTGTCAAGGCTGGTCCCCAACATTACCCAATCCTGAATATACTTTAAAAAAACAACCTCTAGGGGCTGGAGAGATGGCTCAGAGGTTAAGAGCATTGCCTGCTCTTTCAAAGGTCCTGAGTTCAATTCCCAGCAACCACATGGTGGCTCACAACCATCTGTTGAGGGTCTGGTGCCCTCTTCTGGCCAGCAGACATACAGACAGACTATTGTATACAAAATAAAAAAATATTAAAAAAAAAACTTTAAAAAAAAACAAAAAATAAAAAACAACCTCTATTATATATTTCAATAGTATATGAATGGTATCTCACTCAATAAGCTGATACCTGTTGAAATAAGAGCGGCAGGGCTGCGTCCCCAGCACCCCGGCCGCCTGCTAGCTCATGCCCGAAATAACAACACACAAACTGTATTCATTTAAACACTGCTTGGCCCATGAACTCTAGTCCTTACAGGCTAATTCTCGCACTTGGACTAGCCCATTTCTAATGATGTGTGTAAGCACCCCAAGGTGCGCTTACTAGGAAGATTCTAGCCTATGTCCATCCTGGGTCGGAGCTGCCTGGGAGAGCAGAGCCTGGTGTCTCTGCTCCAGAGAGCAGAGCTGTCGAGTCTCTCTGGGAGCAGAGCAGAGTCTGACCTCACTTCCTCTTCCTCCCAGAATTCTATTCTGTTTACTCCTCCCACCTATGCTTTAACCTATCAGGGCCAGCCAAGCAGTTTCTTTATTGCTCAATGACCTTCCTCCATCAGATACCATTTGAAAATTGAAGGCATCTACAATTTCTCACTGCAATCATATTTTCTATTTAACTTGCCAGAAAGTATCATCCGCTCTACCCTCAAATAATTTCCAGGCAAAGCCTCTCACCAGGTCTACAGGTAGCAGGCCAACTGTGTTCATGGCCCAGACAAGCTGCCTGGATGGCCAATAGTCTCCTGGCCATCTTCTTAGGGTACCTTCTGGTGTTCATTCTTTCCTCAGTTCCAGACTGATCTTTCCAAGAGGGGCATCACATAGCCCCCTGCAATTGGCCAAAAAAAGGCTTCCATCATCTTTGGGATAAGATCCTTACCTGTCCCTGTGAGCTGGCACATTCTGTCTGAGATTCACCTTTCACCCCTGACTCTCTTATGCTCTCCACTCCTGCTTCATGTACACTCCATGCAAGTTCCTACTTGGGACCTTTTGAGCTGTCTTAGTCCACTCAGGCTGCTGAAGCAATGTGTCTGACTCTGGGGAACCAGTAAACGCCAAGCATCGTGCTGGTAGAACTAGAGGCTAAGAAAAATATCAAGGTGCCAGCAGATTTGGTATCTAGTCCAAGTCCTCTTCATAAACAATGCTTCCTATTGTCCTCACATGGCAGAAAGGAAGGCAGGGGCCTCTTCTATAAGAACAGCAACTCTACTCATAAGTGTTTCATACCTGTGACCCATCACCTCCAAGGTTCACCTTCCAATACCATCTTCTTGGTGGTTCCCATTTCAACGTAACGGCTTTGAGAACACAGACACTGAAGCCATAGCCTATGAGTAGACCTAACATTTTCTTCCCACTGATATTTA